GCCGACATTTGTGATGGAAGCAATTAACAACGTTTTAGTTTTGGTTATCGCATAAGTTGTTCGAAATCGCCGAAATGGTAGGCCCTCGCTTTATCACATACTGGTATAATTATGGTTCATAACGAACTGGTATGACTTTTTTCATTAAATAATAGTTCATGAACTGGAATTTGTCCATACTGGTTTAGCTTTTCACTGCAGGGATGGTATTAGTATTTTAAAGGGTTGCCATATATGCACAATTTAAATTTAAATTAGTTATTAAGTTAAATAAATTATACAGAAGCATAAAATACTATAGAGTAAGCGCCTGCGTTCAAGCAACATCGCAAAAAAATGTAGAAAGTAGATTTTTCTTAACAGCGATCGCCCCTCGACAGGCAATCGCAAACCTCCGAGTGTATTTCTGCCATGAAAAACAACTTCTTATAACCTCAAATGTTAGGAATATCTCATCTTCGCAAAAAGTGTTTCTGCACATTTAGTGTTATTACTCTATTAAGTTGAACACGTTTTTCCGAGACTCAAAGATATTGCCTAAGAAATCTCTCAAGGACAACTCTTTTAAGGAATTGTATGTTTTTTTTAATACTATTGCTAAAATGCAGTAATACTTACTTCAAAGAAGCCAAAACTTCAATTTTTTTATTCAAAGTTTTGTAATAAATATGAGAAATAAGACATACTATTGCGGTTCCTGTGGTAATTATTTTATTTTTTTTATTGCATTTTACAAGGTTTTGTGGCTTCTTAAGATGCCTTATTTTGAAAAACATTCTTCCCATAAACAATCTTTTCATAATATCATATTATATTTATATATGTCAGCGCTTATTGCTTGACATCTATTGTAGGCAATTCGCTAGTTTGACAGCCATATTTTCATTTGAAAAAAAGCGTGCTGCTGGTAACATCAATGACATTTTGATATTAAATCAAAATAAAAATCTGTTCCGTATTGGATAATTTATGATTACGTTTTAGGAAATTATTTAGCTAGTTTTTTAAAGATTTAAATGTTTTCAAACACCGAAATTGAGAGAATGTTGTCTGGTGGCGTCATGCGGCAAATGCTTATTTCAAGACATCAAAGTGCCCACACACAAAAACTCGCAATCACATTGCTCGTCAAAATGACAGTTGGTAGGCCATCGCTGTTCGCCTGTGGAGTTCTGCGGTAAAGTAAAGCGTGCAATGGTTTTGGTAAATGAGCCAACGAAGGTATTTAGGAATTGTCATCCACAACACAATCCTGGTGTCTCCGAATGAGACTTGACGCAATATAACATTGCCAAGCCGCATCCATAGGCCCAATCGTCACACGGCAGCTCGGTTTAGTCAATGGCGCGATGTAATTGCACACTTAAAAAGTGTACGCACGAGGCGAATATTGCGACCAACTTTGTTGAAAGCGATTAGTTGAAAGGCCGTTCAACCAAAAGTAGAATGCAAAGTTGAACAATGCAAATGCCTTTTTATGGCGAATATTTTATATTTTTTTATATTTTGATATTTTTAGTCATTCAAATTTTTTTTTTTCGTGCAACCCGGAGTGAGTTGAACGCAAAAGTTGCCTGAAAAATCGCCTCGTGCGAAAGCCCCATTACGCCACTTCTCATTTGACGATGTAGATCACGTTCCCTATCTCAGTGGTTCAGTAGCTGCGTGTTCTTTTTATTCTTCCTGAGTTCGTCCGGCACGAATCGCCAATTGCGGCTGTGTAAGCCAGTGTAAGCCAGTGTTGAATATTCTCCCCAGAACATTAAAAGTGCGACATTAAAGAATTCGAATTACCATATTCGAAACAATCGAGCCATAACCGCTAAAGCTCAAAATTTTTTGATTTGCCGTTTTTTTTAAATAAATATTGCATATTTTCCACAAACAAATAGCTTCTTCATATCCATCATCTGGTAAACAAATACAACAAAAAAAAGTAAGAAAGTCTAAGTTCGGGCGAAGCCGAACATTGAATACCCGGCGCAAATATTAAATATATGTTTTTCACCTTTCCGAAAGCTACCACTACATGGTAAGCCGGGGTGTATCAATTTTGAGTAAATTAACGTCCTTTAATTTGGAAATATTGAAGTTTCAAGCATTTCTAAAATTTACCGTTATATGAAAAGCCATAATTTTAGTCCGATTTCAATAATTTTGAACATTTTGCTTTTATGTGGCAAGAACAATAACCATACCGAGTTTGGTGCAAATTGGTAGAACGTTACCGAGATACATATATGTGATCATAAGTGGGCGGTGCCACGCCCATTTTCCAAAATTGTATCATAATCTTATTTCTTGGTAAATAATTGTTGCAAGCATCAGTTTTGAATAAATTAGCTTGAATATTTACTGATTTATCGAAGATTTCGTATTTCTCCAAATTACCGTTATATAGAATGTGGGCGTGGTTATTGTCCGATTTTAAAAATTGTTGGTCATTTGGTATGATGTATTACGGCCAACAACTGTGCCAAGTTTGGAAGAAATTGGTGCAGCGGTTACCAAGATATACACATGTAACCATAAGTGGGCGTGGCTACGCCCAGTTTTCAAAAATTTATGATATTCTTATTTTTCGTCCAAAAATTATTGTAAATGTAAATTTTTAGGGAATAATCTTCAGTAGTTACTAAAATATCGCAGTTTTCGTATTTCTGAAAATTACCGTTATATGGGAGGTAGGCGTGGGTATTGTCCGATTTTGCCCGTTTTCAGTACCATCCGTCCTACGCCCGAATGAAGTACACGTACCAAGTTTTGTTGAGATATCTTAATTTTTACTCCAGTTATCGTGTGCACAGACGATATCTATCTCGATACGTTTTTCCTGTTACAAACAACCGTTATGTGAACAAAGTTATAATACCCTTGTGCACAAGTGCGCTCGAGTATAAAAAAGCTGAAAGTGGACCATCCATTCTCGAGTTATGCGCCATCTGACGTACGCAAGTTTGGTGTATACATAGAAATATTTATTTTTAATAATAATCGGGGGTTATGTTCAATGTAAATAAGCTTGTTTAAATTAAATAATTAAATGAAATTCGTTTTTGTTTTAAAATACCACCATTCACTATTATCCATACCTTTTTATGGAATTTAGCTCCCATTTTAGGAAGTGTGATTGAATTCTTCCCCTTTTTCTCCTGCTTCCATAAACCATCCCTGTGGGTGGGAGTGCCAAATGATGTACACATATATTTATTTATACCATATAACTGTGCCGTTCAATTAAAGTAGCTTAAGTGACTTTAGAAGATTCGACATTGAATTAAAAAATAATCAGTTTCCCTTGAAAATTTTTATATTTTACTAAGTTTCTATTAAAAGGTCATCTATGGCTAGTTAACGTTAAAATATTGTATGAGAATCCAGTGAAATGTTGCTTTAAAGGAAATAGGGCCCGACATAGGCTACTTTAATTGAACGGCACAAATATGTAGATATGTAGGGCAAAACGGAGTCAACGGTGTTTGATGTCAAATATTGTAAATGGTTCCGTGAATGAATATTCTCGTCGATATGCCTCGCGGTAAACCATTGAACGAATTTGAAAAGGGTCGAATTACTGCTCCAGATGAGCAAGGTTTCGGTATACGCGATATTGCTTCGAAGATTGGAAGATCCCACGAGCTGGTTTCTTGTTTTTTACGAAAAAAATATGAATACTGGATCAAAAAGGCAGGCGGGCGGAAAAGAAAGCTGACCAGTCGCGATGAAAGAATAATATAATTGCACGTGTCGCTAGTAATTCAACTATTAGTTGCCAGAAGCTAGCAACAAAATGTTCAGTTCCCGTAAGTCGGCAAACAATTTGGAGGGCTTTAAAACGCACTAAGCACCTCGAGTACGGTAGAATGGTACCAGCTTCATGTCTTTTGCCACGCCACAAAGTCGCTCATATGGAATTCGCTGGTAAAAATATGGCAACTGGCAAAGCAATGGTTAGAGACCAACAATATTCGAACCCTAGGATGGCCAGCATGCTCTCCTGACCTGAACCCAATCTAAAATGTGTGGGGAATACTGGCAAAGAGAGTTTGCAAGAGTGGAATAACTTGGACTCTAATTTGCTAAAAACATTGTGCATAAGTATGAGTAAGCGCATATTTGAGTTGATTAAGGTTAATGGAGCACAAATAAAATATTAGATTTATATAATATTTTGAAGTTTTATTTATTAGTACAAGGATTATATTTGGATTTATAATTTTGCAGCAAGTACTTTTTAGGTTGTATTACTTCTTGCAAAATTTTGTAGTGGTTAAAAAAACAAATAACCCCATGCAAAAGTCATAGAAGAATTGTTTTTTTCATATCTCTTTTTCTAAGCCTGCTACACAAATATTTTTGTAGTGGATTTATAGTTTTACAACGGAGTGTATTAATGTTTCCTCCTGATTGCCAGGTTCAACATTAAACTTTCATGACCACCTTCTTAAAATAGTTGGCACAGTAGCGCGTAGCTCTTCTTACGCAGAAGGTTGTAGCAACATAGTCCGGACGCATAAATGCAAATTGCCGAAGATATATCAT